CTGAGCTCTGAGGAGGAATTTATGGTGACATGCAACAGGCCGACCCTGTTCGCTTGTTCTTGGCGGCGAGGAGGTCGTTGAGGCGCTTGACGTCCTCGAACTCGCCGGTGAGCGTGGAGCCGAGGATAGCGGCGACGCAGATGGTGTTCTCGTCGACCATCCGCACGGCCTCGTCTGGGTCCATGACGTAGCAGCCTTCCCGCAGCTTCACCTCCTTGAGCTCCACCTCGAAGTAGCGCGCGAACTTCTCCCAGCACACCTGCACGTTGGCGCCCGTCACGATGTTGGGCCTGTCGCAGGGCTTCCCCGCCGCCTTCCGCCGGTTCTGCCACCGCCGCTTGAAGGCCAGCCCCGCGAGCATGATCGCCTCCGAGGACCCCACCGTGCCCACCCCGACGGCCTTCTCGCTCGCGTCAACCGGCGCGTGGAACAGCCGCGCGATGATGTTCACGCACCGGTTCTGCAGCTCGGTGGTGACCGGGTACTCGTCCATGTCGGCGTAGTTCTTGTTGATGCCCTCCAGGATGAGCTTGTCGCACTCGGGCTCCATCCACGTGGTCACGAACGACGCCAGGTTCAGCCGCGGGCTGCTGTCCAGCAGCAGCTCGTCGTGGATGATCTGGTACGCCGCCTCCTTGGAGATGGACTTCTCCCCCAGCTCATACCTTGGAAGCGGGTCCTGCACGTATCTCGAGGCGAACACGACGGCCGACGCGGCCGCTGCGTCGTCGAGGTCGTGAACGTGTGTCAGAACCATGTCTCAGTCAGCGCGTTCCTTGCTCCTCCTTATTTTTTTTCTCCTTGCAAGAGGAACAGGAGACGATATTGCTCTTCTGTTCTCTCTGTGTAGGATCTATGAACATTATATAGACTGCAAGAGGACGGAAAGCTTGCGCGTGTTTTGTGCGTTGCTTGTCCATGTCCTATGGTATTGCTGCCGGGCGACTCTGCTTCGCTTGCACGTCTTACCCTTGCTTGCTTGCCTGCTGCTGCTTTACTTGCTGGCCTCACTTGCTTCCCCGGGAGCTGCCTAATTGTTCGATTACTATTGCCCCAGATCCCCGAGAGAATCTGAGAATGTACATATGCCCGGTGCTGCGGTGCATCATGCATAGGAATATATGATGACTTTCCACCTGGCTTTCTAGGAAATCATAAAAGACGACCTGATGGCGCCGTAAATGATTTTCGTATTTCTAAAACTTTATTCCTTGTCCATGGTTTAACCATCTGGTGGACTACCATAATGTTACCTAAAAGCAGAGGGATGCAAAATAAGGAGAACAAGGAAATGGGAGCAATGGCATAACGATCAGAAACAACATGCATGATTTAGTAATAGAAGAATTGTTACTGGTTGGTTTCCCTCAGCCGAACTTTGGAGTTAGAGTTTTTTTTTATTAAAAAAAAATCTTATTGAACAGGTAGGTGAGCTTCCCAATTTATAGGGACGGAGTTTGACCAAATTTGAAGGGGGTGCGTTTGCCTTATGGTTGCACAAAGTTTTGCTATATAGGTGCATGTATGACGAAAATGTGACGATAGTTGCTGTTTCTCAATTTTGGCGTGGGTGCACCCGCAGCCCCCTAGTCTCTATCTAGATTTGCCCCTGCAACTATATTAAGGAAAAAACCCATATACTACAAATAAGGCCTAAGCGCACACCCACAAATACTTAGCACCCCCTAGAAAAAAATAAAGATCATAACCAGGAAATTAGAGAAGCGACCGAATGAATCAAAATAACAAGACGAAGGTGAGCTCATGATTAGAAGGATTCCAATTAAGTGGCACGAACAGAGCAGTAGAGCACCAAAGATCAACATCTTCTCTAATTCCTTGAATAAGAAGTGGGACACTAGGGCTCCTACACAGTCATTGCGATGTTTCGAAATGAAATATGCTGCCAGCATGACAACGGATGGAAACCCCTGCTGTGCTGTCAGGCTCAATCAAAAGTGATGCATTAGACCACACAATTTGAAACAATAGATGGTGTCGACTCACTAACACTGACCGCATTAGGCCAACAAATCGAAGCATCTATAATATCGAAGTTTGTTTGTCAAAGACACAATATATCAAAAATACGTGTAATGATTTCCTCCACCTTATCATATAGATGACATTTGTGGGGTCAGGGTGAGGCAGGCATTGTTGCGTAAGGCCATCAACAATCCAACAATGTTATGGCAGGCCGTACAAATGAAATACTTCATTCTAGGAAGTCTTTACTAAGACTTGAACTTGGTGCTACCCCCAAAGGAAACTATGTAAGGCCTGGTTTAGTTCCTAAAATTTTTTATCCCAAACTATTACATTGAATCTTGCGGCACATGCATGGAGTATTAAATATAGACGAAAAAAATTAATTGCACAGTTTGGTTGGAAATCGCGAGACAAATGTTTTAAGACTAAGGGCCTGTTTGGTTTCCATAAGTTAGGTGACTTATTAAGTCAGGTGACTGAAAACTAGTGACTTATAAGTCATGCATGTTTGGTTGTAGATGACTTATAAGCTCATTAAAGGTGTGGGCCCCACGCGAAAAATGGTGACTTATAAGTTTTAAGTAGGGGTGAACCAACTTAAAACTTATAAGCAGGGGTGACTTATAAGTTGATGGTGTTTGGCAAAATAAGTCACTTTTTTCACTTTTTAACTTATAAGTAGGTGACTTATTTGGAACAAACATGCCCTAATTAGTCCATGATTAGCCATAAGTGCTACAGTACTAACATGCGCTAATGATGGATTAATTAGGCTTAATAAATTCATCTCGCAGTTTCCAGGCGAGCTATGTAATTAGTTTTTTTTATTAGTATCTGAAAACCCCTTCCGATATCCCCGAAACATCCGATGTGACATCAAAAAAATTTATTTCGCGAACTAAACACAGCCTAAGCTAATCTCGAAGAGAAAGTACCCAATATAGCACCAGTACAAATGTGTTTGTCCTCGACATCGGTTGGGGTGTTTTAGTTGGTTTATTCAATTGTCATAGTTTGTATTTGCGATGCTCATGGCTATGGCCATAACTTGCTGTAAGTGGTTACAGCAGGCCAACCAAATGAAACGGAGGCGCCAAGGTAGTGTTATTCTAGTCGGTTTATTCAGTCATCACAGTATGTGATGCTTACGTCTAGAGCAATAGTAATAACTTGTAATAAGTGGTCAGATGTCTCGACTCTCAAGTTTAGATGAGGCCAGATTTTTCTCTATCATCTAGAAAAAAAGATTTAAGCATTTGACTTAGCACAGTAGCTCACATTTCAACTAGTTATTGTTCTTTCATCTCTAAATAACCTTCTTACCCATCCTACCGTGGTTTTTTACTGGGATCGGTTTAGCACTGCTCCTATCTCCAAAACCAACTGTACTCCATCAATTTCACCATAGAGTAGCTATATAAAAAAATCTAGAGTTTCTAGAGTACCCCTTTAGAAGATTCACAAAACACCTGGAGTTGGCCCTCAACTTCACTTTTTTCAGGAGTAGAGTTTGTAAAGTTGTCCCTATTTGACTAGCGAAGTTGGGAGTGGGGCTGAAAAAGGTAGAGTGGAATAGTCCTAAACAGGCTCTTAATCTTGTCCAGTTTTGGAATCCTGGGATTTGTGACCGGTCAGTTCCCATAGTCATTTATAGGCAACCATAAGTATGCATCGTAGACGTATATGTAGAGGTGTAAACCGTAAACACGGATCAGTTACTGACATGTATCTATGGATATGGATACAAATACATATATATGGCTACAACATTCCTCGGATTTGGGTTCAATTACGAGTAGTTCAAATAAGATATGAATGGACATCGATACCATATATATCTAAATTTGAGTATGCGAATAGACATGGTACGAATACTAAATTCCTAGATTTAAATATAGTATATTTCATATGGATACTGAAGCCATTCGACGGTCTGTCGAAAAATATACGTATTATTTATACCCCTAGCATTTATACCCCTCGTACGTATACTAGTCCCTAGTTTTGGTACACTTCTAAGAGTTAGGAGTTTTGTAGAACAACTCTCTATTTGGATTTTTTAGTAAAAGGAAAAAAGTTCTCTCCAACGGTTTGGTAAAAGAGCTCCTTAAAATAAAAAATTTGTCAAATATCTTCTTCAGCTAAGAGCTCCTTAATTTAAAATAAAAAATTATCAAATGTCCTCTCCACTCGTAAGTTTTCACAGCCAAAAGGAACTTTGTATTTGCTTTCCATCCGCTGTTTTTTCTTGGCTGATCGGAATATATTGAACATATGAGTAAATTAAGAAAATAAAGAGAAAAAGAAACTATTAAAAGATGTTTGTTTGATTAGAAATAGTTTGGGCTTGCCAATGCAAAATTGTTTGGGAGGCTAATATAGAAAACTATTCGAAAGAGAAATAAATTAAGGTTGCTACTTATGTTGTTAACTCGCTAAATTTATTGGTTTAGCAAGTTAATTATAGCTAAGTCAACTTACATTTTTTGCTTGAGAAAAAACCCATATCAAGCCTAGATCGGTATAACTAGCCCAAATTGGCTGGGCTGGTTTTGGGCCTCGGCTAAAATAGTGCTTCTGATTTAAGCAGAGGGTTCGAGCTGCCGCTGCATGGCAGCTGCTGGGTGCTGCAAGCTTGCGCGTGCATCCCCTAACACCCCTGAAAGCTGCGCATCCCCTGCCAAAGGAAGTCAGTTGAAGAGTTGCCATCCACTGTGACGTGTTTGTTTCAGAAATGATACAGCACATGTGACAACTGAGGAAGACAAGAATGGCATCAGTAGCAATGATGGCCACCGATCTTTTGTGCTACGCGAAATTATGATAACCTCGATTGGATTCGAGTATGCGACATCTGAATGTTATGATTGGTTCCAATCTTTATTGAACTAAACAGGGATGGGAAACATCATCAACACACAGAAACACTGAGGGTGAACGCTGCCTTATTCATGTACTGGTACAAAACAGTCCTCTATGCAGCAACACCAAGGCGGTCCATTTTTCAGTCCCTATTCCTCTACATTATTCAGTTCTGCAGGATCAACAGACGTGAACTCACCCTCTTCCGAGAACAAGCCACTACTCGTCTGGACTACCTTCCTCTGCGGGATCTGGCTGATCTTGAGCCGGTCCTCCTCAGTCAGCTCCCAGTCGAATATCTCAAGGTTCTGCTTCAGCCTCTCCTTGTTGTAGCTCTTGACGATGCACGTCACTCCCTGCTCATGTGTCCATCGCAATGCCACCTAATAAGAGAAGACAAGACGACATTGAATATAGTTGGGGAGAGCAGAGAGTAGACGTCGGGCAGTCACGAGTGGCAAAGGACGACGACGAATACGTGATCAACCAGACCTCATCGGCCGGGCCAACGTCCACGACACTACCGCACGTCAGAAAACGCCGGTCGAAGCGCGGGACAGCGTACCTGCGCGACGGTTTTCCCTCTGGCCTTGGCTATCTCGGCGAGCACCACGGAGTCCAGCACGGCGTTGCCCTGCCCGTCCCAGTTCTGCCCTCCCAGCGGCGAGTACGCCGCGACGTGGATGCCCCTGTCGGCGCAGTACGCCCTCAGCGTCCGCTGCTGCCACGCCGGGTTCAGCTCCACCTGGTTCACCGCGGGCGGGATCGTGGCGACGGCCAGGACCCTGTCGAGGTGCTTGGTGGTGAAGTTGCTCACGCCGATCGCCTTGGCGAGGCCCAGCCGCTGGCACTCCTCCATGGCGCGCCACACGCCCTCGAAGTCCAGCGGCACGGCGTCCTCCTTCTTGCTCGGGAACCTGGGCGGCCCGTTGACGCACACCGGCCAGTGGATCAGGTACAGGTCCACGTACTCCATCTGCAGGTTCCTGCTCCCACGGCACGCGACAGCAGAAATCATTTTTTATTTGAGGAAAAATCATTTACCATTGGAACGGCCGGCTACATAGCAGTATTTGCCAGCAATAGGGAGTGGGACTTACTTGAGAGTATCCCGGAGGGACGGCAGCACGAGGTCAGGGTGGTTCTGCGAGCACCACAGCTTGGACGTCACGAACAGCTCCTCCCGGGACTGCAGGAGCCCGCGCCGGAGCGCCTCGGCCACGGCCTCGCCGAGCGGCTTCTCGGTGCCGTACATGAAGGCCGTGTCGAAGTGGCGGAACCCCACCTCGATGGCCGCCAGCACGGCGTTCTTGGTGGCCTCGTGCACCAGGGGGGAACTGCACCGTGCCCATGCCGACCATCGGCATCGGCCTCGCGTCGCCCGAGCGCAGGGCCACCTCCGGCACCGCCGCCGCCGCCGCCGCCGTGGTTGCCATGCTGACGCGGCTGCAGGTCAGATGTGGTGGTGCGCTGCAGTTACGACTTCTAGGTGCGGAACAGGGACAGGGGTGCTGGTGCCGTGGATGCCGTGCTGATGCGCCTGCTGGTCAGATGTGGTGCGCTGCAGTTACACAAACTTACACGTCTTGGTGCGGAACAAGACAGGAGTGCGCGTGCCGATCGCTTTATGGCGCAGGCGACCTGAACTCTCGTTTTCCTTCGCCTTTTATTGCAAACGGGGACTCATCACTCCATGTCTCCATCGGACTAGTCTAGAGTTTTGACGTCACGAGTTACGCTTCCACAGGTGGTGAAAGTTTTCGTTTTCTGCACTTGGCTAGGAATTAGGCAGGTACAACGCTGGCGCTCAGGGAGGCGCTAAACAGTCATTCTAGCTTTTTTTTTTTTGCCACACCTCGTAGATTTCGGTCCCCAGAAATTTGGAGGACTTTCTGACAACGAGCCCGTCCCCGAGTGCCACCCGCCTGCGCCATCCCCCTTCTCTTCGGTGGCCCGCGCCCACGACTACGCACCGTCTCCCTGTGCGCCCTCTCTCTCCAACTCTCCCTCTCTTCTTCTCCATCTCCGGAGAGCATATAAGGGGGTTCTGGGAGAGGAAGGCCGACCAGGCGGTGGGGACGGTGACAGGGCGGTTTAGGGCCCTGGCAGCGGTGGAGGTGGCTGGGCCAGGTTGGGGCCGCTGCGGGCGCGAATGAAAGATAATCTTAAACATAACAATTAGACCACTCATCAAGAAAATCCTTTATGTTTTTGCTTCCTCATTTTTTTTCTCAAATCCGTCCATGCAGCATCCCCACTTCCTATTATTATTTTTATACTAACAAATATTGTAAAATAGGTCGTGAGTCCGCACATGCGAGACACGGGAAGCACAAAGACATTTTAAGAACTAAAAAATGATGGATACAAACACAGAACAAATTATATATTCGTAAAAACACGTTCAACGTTATAGTCTGATCATACATAGTTCAGGTGCTCGGGGGCGACTCCTGATTGGGTTTTTGTGTGTGTTTCCTTTTCTGATTCCGAGCCACAGGAGTTGGCCGGTGGTAGCGGTTATTGCTTCATCCTATTCGGCTGCAATGAGCAGCAGAGCACCAAGCAATCGCGGTGACGGAGTCCACGTGGCCCGCAACCTATCGCACGGGACTCTGGATTAATCATGCAAAAATAGTCATGCATCTTCTTTCATCTTTTTGTTTCACTAAAGTATTAAAATAAGAGTTTCTATATCTATTTTTTTTATTTTATCATACAAGTTGGAAGAACTCTAAGTAATTTCAAGATATATTAGGTTTCGAGCGTAACGAACGGACACATTTCAAGATTTATTGTACTGTACATTATTGAGGGCGGTAGACAGGTGACGTGTATGGCTGCTAGATATGCCTCCTTCCTTGACCACTTGTGTCGTCGGAGACCGACCGGACGATAGGAAGTTGTTCTGGATAGGGACGCTTCTTCTCACGAAAACTCCACGCCACCGGACTAGTATGGAGTTTGACGTCACGAGTTACGCTTGCACTTTATAAACGCTTTCGTTTTCTGTTACAAAGAAATGGAACTTTTGTACGAGATTTTTTTTTTAAAGATTCCGCCTGCATGCGTAACAGGTGAAAAAAACGCATATTGGATTGACTTGCCTTCCTGTGTCCTGCTCCATGTGAGGTGACCGAACAAAAATCAAACATACTACTCGTCCTAATTAAGTGATTACTATTCTCTACTATTAATATAATGATGCGTAGTTCTCGTGCGTATTCGAGAAAAAAAATTACAATACGGCGGCTAGCTAGGTGCTAAACTCAAAGAGAAATTCCAAATGTTTAAATTTAGCCACATAAGACAAGAAAATTAACTATTTATTATGTGCCCTCTAAAATTATAGGCTCCCTTCATCGTCAGCAAATCTATTTTTTTATGTTCCTTTTGTTCAGTTGTCTAAAAACTGCTGATTCTACCGCTATAATCAAGATAGACGACAACATCTTATCGTTCTCAGGATGTTCTCCCAAATCGATTGGTCGGCCTCTTAGACCTTTCCTCCATCGATCAGCAAGTGCCATCAGATTTACGAGAGGAACGCCATGTATTTATACAAGGGTGTTGAAGGGGATGCTCGGCTGTTACTTTAATCAGAAGCGAATACCCCCAAGGTTAGTAGAAATTAGTGTTATGGTTTTCTATTCTTGAGATGAGAATTAATTAATTTCATGAATAAAAATAACTATATAAAATCTAGAATTATTATTTGGATCATGAAAAAAATACTTCGACACTCAGAAAAATCCTAGAAAATTTGTTGTAGTGGCTCTCATTATCCGTACGAGGATCGGTAAACATAACCCTAATTTCCACTGACCCTATCTTCAGATCTTTAGATTTGTCCTAGGTCTCGTCCTGACCGTAATAAAAATATTGTTTTCAGGTCTCTGAACTTATTACAGGTGTCGTCAAGGTCCAAACAAGCCTTGATCTACAGATCCATGTCTTGACATGATATGTCACTCTCAAATTGTATTTCACGTCTCTAAACTTATGGAGAAGTGTCACCTATACGTCAAACTCTCAAAACATCATTTCTGGTCATGAAACGTCTTGACTTGGCTCAAATCACATCAGAGCGCTCCATATCTATGCCTTTCTATGTTCTCATCCCACACTGGCTTGAGTATGAGAGGCGCAAATGGTATGGATATTTTTCGACCGTATTCGAGTTCAAATATGTTTAGAAGAGTTCAGACCCGTCCGTATCCGAGTCCGGATATTTGAATACTCAAATCACATATTTATGATGTCGATATTCATTCGTATCCTATCTAACATAGTTGATACTATCCGTATTCGAGTCCGAATACAAATTAAAATACAAAAACAAATGTAATATCCACGATATTCGTTCGTATCTCATCCGTTTGCATCCCTCTAACGTATGTGTCATTGACTTTCTCCAAGCCAAAGGAGTGTGAGAGGGACCTATTGGTCAAGAACTAAGCCAAAGGGAATCCATCATCAGTGCCGGCCCTAGGGGTAGGGCACGAGGTGCGATGGCCGAGGGCCCAAACGAATGAGGGGTCCAAACCTAGGTATACAAATCCTCATGTCATATTGTCCATTAGGTATTAGCAAACTAATGAGAAGAGAGACATAGAACTAGTCAGGCGGCCCAAAAGACAACATCAGCATTTCTTTTCTAGTTTTCTTTTCCCACGGCTCTCGGGTAGAGAGGAGACGAGGAGTCACGCTACACACAACACACTCTGATCATGAGTTCACGACGTGCGCCTTACATACGCGGAGCTAGCGAGCCGCACCGCCGCGAAGAGCTAGACTACCGGAGACACGGACACGGCGCACGAGGACGACGACCAGGCAGGGCTCCACGACCACGATATCTTGATTCTTTACTTCTTATGAATTGCGATCACCGATCAGTTGTTTAAGCCCAAGGTATTTTTTTTCTTTTTATTTTTAATCTAAATAAATTATTTGTATAATATTCTAGACTTCTAATACTTTGTACCCATATAGTCATATTTTTCTTCTAATTTAGGTGTTAGAATTTTAGAATGTTACCTAAGAAACATTTGTCATGGGTGAGAAAAGAAAACAAATATATTATTTTTTTAATCTATATTGTTCCTCGATAATTATCATACATCTATAAATATATTGTTTAATCTACATTGTTTCTTGATAATTATTAGACATGTTCAATTAAAAATATGTTATTGAATTTGTTTTCGTTTTGCAAGTAAAATTAGCGCATATATATTATAAGATTTTGTATATGGTCAAGAGGGGCCGTTGCGACGAGATCGCCAGAGGGTCCTTATAATCCTAGGACCGGCACTGTCCATCATGGCAAGCAGCATCACAGAATGGAGCAAGTTGGGTCCCGTTTTGATCTAGATGGTATCTCGTAATAACTAGGAATCTAGATGACTAAGGACCTAAAAGTATATTTTGAGAGTTTGAGACCCGAATGATACCTCATAAGAAGTGCAGAGACCACACTTTACTTTTTATTCTTAATTCAAGATGGTGGTATCAAAGCAACTCATGTATTCTTGATTCAACATGGCGGTATCAAAGCTGACTCCAATCACCAAATTTTTGGTTCTGCAACTAGATAGATGGAGATTTCTGCTACATTTCAACAATATCAAGCTCAGCAAGATCCACGTTGGAGACACCATCTGGGCTGAGGATCCCCAACACTGTGACCCTGTTGTGTTGCGATATCTGACTAATCTTACGCCGGTCTTCATTGGTCAGTTTCCAATCGAAGATTTCCATGTTCTCCTTGAGTCTATCCCTTTTCAAACTCTTGACAACCATGCTAGCGCCTTGCTCGTAGATCCACCTCAGTGAAATCTAGGGAGGAATGGGAAGTTGTTATGCTAATAAGTGTTAACGTCATACAAAAAGTTTAGAAGACCTGACACGTTGACAGTTTTTAACTCATATTTTATCATATATCAATGGTTTTTCCATGCTGTGCAAAAGGTTCTTAACTTAGTTCTTTTACACTTGGCTGAAAAGAAGTTCACTAATTTGAGCGCATCATGCTCTTTGTCAAACTGCAAAAACCTTTCTGAAGAATACAAACTGCACATACTTAGTCAAGACATTAAGCTAAAGGTGCTAATATAAACTCGGTAGTTACACTTCAAAAGCCTTTAAGATATTGAATTGTGACGAGAATTTTGAACAACCGCTAAACTTCAAGGTAGAACAGTTAAAAAAAACTTCAAGGCAGACACATTGAGATGTATTGTTGGTACCTGAGCCACTGACTTTCCTCTAGCCCATGCAACCTTGGGGACTAAGTGACTACACTTCACCTGACGATGAATGTAGTGCATTTTCTTAATTTACCCTCCTTGTTGACTAAGTCATGGATGATAATCATCCAACCTCGCAAACGGAGTCTAAGTGGCTACAATTCATCTGAGGTGAAGAATTTTCAAAATTTATCTTGACCCCTTACATCCTATTGGTGAACCTTACATGGCTAAGTCCGAGATCTGCTAACCAGTTAAACTGTTCGACAGCCATTTTCACTAGTCTGCTCATCAGTTAAACTGGTCGGCGTCCATTTTTCACCTCTCAGGTCACCAGTTAAACTGGTCGGCTTCAATTTTCACCGCCTAGGTCATCAGTTAGACTGATCGGCTTCATGCTGGACTTCTTGAACTTGATCAAGACGACATCACCAAGTGGATACAAGACGCTCGGGAACTAGCTGTGGGGGGTACGAGTCGCACCGTACGACCCCGGGTACCCACGGCGCAAGACATGGGCCGCACCATTATGGATGGTCCAGCCCACAACATCAAGACTTGCGGCGGCACTAGTCGGCGTGCACCGCAAGACATCTAGAAGATATCTCGAAGATATGATTTGCTAGGATTCTTATAAAAGTTGTAGTCCAAATAGAATATCTGTCATATAACCGACTAGGATA